AACTAACAACTATTTACAAGTAACTATTTACACGCGAGTACCAAACATCCCGCCCACCAAAATGCAGCGAGATGCATTTTTTTTACGGATCGGGGTTGGTCGCCTGGAGAAGTGTGCCCATCGGCAGGGGGCACAGCTTCACCAGGGGACGCACGATCGAACCGCCCGTCACTCGGACCGTGGCGACCCGCGGAACGCCATCGCGACCCGGGTGAAGGGACTCTACGCGGCCGCGCTTCCATTGGAGAGGCGACGCGTTCTCCCCTCGAATGAGTACGAGTGAGCCCACGGCGAGCGGATTAGCGGAGGTCCACCATTTGGGACGCTGCTGGAGAGTACAGAGATACTCATGATGCCAGCGTCTCCAGAAGTCCTGGTGAATTCGCTGTATTAATTGCCATCGACCTAAGTGGTTCACGGGGAGAGGAGTCAAGTCAGGAGAGGGAATGGCCACCAGGGGCTCCATTGTGAGGAAGTGACCGGGAGACAGGACCTCTAGGTCCAGAGGATCCGTGCTCACGGGACAAAGCGGCCGCGAGTTCAATACGGATTCTATCTGAGCGAGGACCGTCGCGAACTCCTCCAACGTCAGAATCTGCTCCCCCACCACCCGCCGTAAGTGAGTTTTAAAAGATTTAACGCCCGACTCCCAGAGGCCCCCGAAATGGGGCGCAGAGGGAGGGTTGAAGGACCATCGGATCCTCTCCCGCTCCGCCGCGCCGCGCATGTGTGCTGCGAGCTCCCGAGAAGCGCCCACAAAGTTCGTGCCGCAGTCACTACATAACAAGGAGCAGCGTCCGCGACGGGCTACGAAGCGGCGCAGCGCAGCGAGGAAGGATTCCGTGGTCAACGAGAGCGCCGCCTCCAAGTGGACGGCCTTAACCGCGAAACAAACAAAAAGGCAGACATATGCCTTAAACGAGGAGACCCCTCGCGCTCGGCGAGTGACGAGCGTGAAGGGTCCCGCAAAGTCGACGCCGCTCACCGAAAAGGGCTTGACCTGGCTCACGCGGTCGACCGGTAGCTCCGCCATGAGCGGTTGACTCGGGCGAGGGTTCGCTCGGAAGCACTTATAACACGCAGAGAGCACGCGTCGAATTGCGCGATGGACTCCGAGGATCCAGAACTGTTGTGCGAGGAGATATTGGAGCGTGCGTCTACCCGGGTGCAGATTCGCACGGTGCTCCCGCTCGATTATGAGGTCGGTTAACCGGTGTTTGTTGGGCAACAATATAGGGTGCTTGGTCTCGTAGGCCAATCCCGAGTGAATCAGCCTGCCGCCCACCCTGAGAAGACCCGTTGGGTCCAAAAAAGGAGCGAGTTTGAGAAACGGTTTTGGCAGCCCTTTCCGGTGCCCTAGACGATCGATCTCCTCCTCAAACGAATCCAGCTGGACGAGTTTGATTAACGTTAACAATGCGGAATGCGATTCGTGTTGGTCCACGGCCAAGGTCGCGGGTGCCGGCCTGGCCCTGGAACGACTTAGGAATCGAGAAACGTATGCGACTATTCTACAGATTTTGTCTAGCGACGAGAAGCGATCCAATAACGCGAGCAATGAACCGGGCGGATCGAGTGACACGAGCGAGGTGATCCGCTCTTCCTCGCGGGGAAGCGACTCCTCCGAGAGGACCGGTTCGACGTGAGTCTCGAAGTCCGTCAACCACTCGGGTCCCTCCCACCACATCGAGCTAGCCACGAGGTCGCGGGGAAACAGTCCGCGCGAGCAATGATCCGCCGGATTTTGATCCGTGGGCACGTGTCCCCAAGCCGCAATCGGAATCCTCTCCTGTATACGAGCGACGCGGTTGCGCACGAATGTCTTCCATCGATGCGGAGAGGATCGGATCCAACAGAGCGCGACCGTGGAATCGGACCAAGCGCGCTCAGTGTCAATGACGGTGTGACCCCGTAACACCTGACGGACGTACGCAGTTAAATCGGCGAGGAGCAACGCGGCACAGAGCTCCAATCGGGGTAAAGAGACCGCGCGGAGGGGAGCCACCCTTGACTTGGCACAAAGAAGCAAGCGTTTGCTCTCCGATGGAGCGACGGCACGCAGGTAGATTACGGCCCCGTAGCCCAGCTCACTTGCGTCACAAAACCCGTGGAGCTCATATCGAATGTTATCGCCCACTGGGAACGTGCGCGGGATACGGAGCGCGGTCAACGCGTCGAACTCCGATTGGTAACGCTCCCATTGGCGGCGGACCTCCAACGGGGGTTCGTCATCCCACTCGAGCTTTAGCGTCCATAACCTCTGGATCAGGCACTTCGCGGTGAACGTCAACGGGGTCAAAAAACCCAAAGGGTCGAACACGCGGGCCACCTCCGACAAAATGGTGCGTTTCGTGCAGTTCCGATTCAGCGGGTTGATTTGAAAGCCAAAGGTGTCCGACTGAGAATGCCACCGGAGTCCCAGGACCTTGAGGACCTGGTCATCGGCTGACTCAAACGAAAGCATCGCGTCGCTACAGATTGATGGGTCGAGCCCCTCCAACGCTTCGGAGTGGCTGCTCGCCCATTTTCGCAGTTCGAAACCGGCGCCTCGGAACAATTCGAGGAGCTGATCTCGCAGCGCGACGGCCTGACCGACGGAGCGGACGCTAGCCACGACGTCGTCGACGTACAACGATTCGAGCAAGGTGGTGTAAACTAGGGGGTATCGTTCGCGATTCTCCCGCGCTAATTGAAGCAGACAGTAAATGGCCAGGAACGGCGAGGCCGTATTCCCGAAAGTGACCGTGTTAAGCAAGTAATCGAGTATGGGGTCCGACTCCGAAAAACGCCAGACGATGCGTTGGTAATCGCGATGCTCCGGCGTGATCCAGATCTGCCGAAACATTTGTTTTACGTCGGCGGTGAGAGCCACGGGTTTCGCGCGAAAGAGGAGGAGAACCGCGACTATGTCGGGCTGTAGCTTCGGTCCGCTTAGAATCGTATCGTTGAGAGATAACCCGTTCGGGCCTTTCGCTGAGGCATCGAAGACGACGCGAAGCTTGGTGGTCGTACTGTCAAGTTTGTGCACCCCGTGGTGCGGCAAATAGTAAACCCGGCCGTCCGGAGGAGCGGCCTCACTCGCGATGGTCATATGACCGCTATCCAGATAATCCTGCATAAAGGCGTTATAGCTCTGTCGAAAGTCCGGATTTGACTTGAAACGGCGCTCGAGTGCGCGCAATCTATTTACGGCTATCGGCCGCGAATCCACGAACGTGGGAAGGCCCGACGCGAACGGGTACGAAACGACAAAACGACCCGAATGGTCACGGTAAGTAGTTCTTTCGAAGAACTCTATACATCGCTGATCCTCCTCGGATCGAGGAGGGTGTTCCGGCACGTCCTCCAGTCTCCAAAATTGCTCCACCGCGGCATCAATTGACTCGAGCGTGGTGGCAAAGGTGTGCAGTGGCTGCACTTGTAACGCCGGAGAGACCGCGCCCATCAGTACCCAACCGAACGCGGTATTGAAGGCGTCCGGTTCCCCGGCTCTCCCGGTGCGGCGACCGTCACGTAGCACGGATACAAAGGAATCCGCGCCCAGCAATATATCGATAGAGCCCGGCATATGATATTCCGGATCCGCGAGCGGCAGTCCCGTTAAGTGACTCCAATCCTTAGAGTCAACTCGATGGTTAGGCAACGGCGAAGTTATGCGAGGGAGCACCGTGGCTTCGATCGGGAAACGAAGATCATCCCGATTCTTTACGCGAATCACGAGTGAAGTGAGGCCCCGAGTGGTGGCAGCCTTCGTCTCGTTGACGCCCAAAACGGCGACGCTATGTCTAGTCCGCGCGAAACCGCCCCTTCGAAGGCAGCTTTCTGTAATAAAGTTTGCCTGGCTGGCGCTATCCAGCAACATGCGTACTGGAAATGCGTTGCCCCTAACGTCAAGGGCCTCGGCCCGCACGGTCGAAAGGAGCACCACACTGTTAGAAACGCTGGCCATCGAAACGATGGGCTTGTTTTCGACGATGGTTGAGGGCGCGGACTCGCTGGCGCCCGAAGCTATCGAGGGAACGGTTGCGGGAGAAACCGTGTTAGCCTGCTCGAAGTGCAGGAGCGAGTGGTGTTTCGATTTACAGGACCGACAGGTCCACGAGCTGGGGCAGGTTTTGAGGTTGTGACCCGAGCGCAGGCAGTTCAAGCATAATCCCTTGTCACGCGCGAGGTCGTGCCTCTCCCTTGCCGAGAGTTGAAGAAAACCGGCGCATTTTGCTAATAAATGCTGCTCTCCGCATTTTACGCACGCGGCGTTCCGGGTGACGAGCGAGGTAGTCGCTGCGCCCTTCTTCGCGGGAGTCGACGGCTTCGATTTGCCCGATTGCGCCGAAGGACCCGCCACTGACGCGAGAACCGAGCAGTAACTCGATAGGTATTGTACCAGCTGATCGAAACTCGGCGAGTCCACCGACATGTGGCTCGCTTCAAACTTCTCCCGTAACGTAGGGGTGAGTTTTTCCAGCAAGTGATTATACAGCATAAAATCCCACGCCTTGACCGGATAGCCTAACATTCCAAGAGCGCGCGTGTTCTCGGTGAACCCGTCCAATAACGCACGGAGAGAGGCGGGAGTATCCCCGACCAAAGGCTTAGCGTGTACGACTGCACGCCAATACTGCTTAGCTAACTCGCGCTTGTCCGAATAGCGCGCCTGTAATGCGTCATACGCGATGGGATAATTTTCCACTGTCAACGGCAGGTGTTTTACGACACCGAGAGCCTCGCCAGAGAGCGAAGTCAGTAAATGCTGAAACTTCTCGATGACGGTAACGTCGAGGTTATTGTGAACCGCCGCGTCGAAGAGCGCGATAAAGGTCGGCCACAGCGCGAGATCTCCGCTGAATTGAGGGAGCGCGAGCTTCGGCAGGCGAATGGCCGAGCGAGACGCGGACGATGGAGCCGGCGGATCGGCCTTCCGTGCGGCTCGAGCCAATTTCTCGTATCGCCCCACGACAGCGAAGCGCAATCGGTCGAACTCGTCGCGAATCTTATCCTCCGTCTCGAACTCGTCGTCCCCGACGTCTTGGATAATCTTTAGGTGATTTCCCTCGAAATCATCTACCACTTTCGCGACCGTCGGGTAGCGCGCCATAAATTCCGCCTTCTGAGTCGGGTTTTCCGATGCGAGCACCGAGTATTGATGAATTTCCCTCATGCGGCGAATGCATAGCTCGCGCCGCGATCGAGCCCCCTTCGTCATGGTGAGGATGATCTATACGCGCGCGAAGACACGAAAATCAACAACGGTTCGAAGGCTTTGTCCTACAGGAGTGAGAAGGATCGGGAGATGACAACTAATATTTGCGAGCAAATGTATGTGCACGTGATCAGAGCACGTGCCAAATATTTTCAAAGGTCTCGCTTCGAACGCGGAGACCAACAACAATATCGAAAAACACCGCACCGGTCGCCAAGGTCGGGAGGGGCGGGCGTCTCGAATTCGACGGTTAAGCTGAAGCAATGGAATATCGCGAATATTCGATCGCTTATTATTACACAAACTATGATTAAGAGAACGGCACCGAGTGTGCAATCGTACTCTCGAGCGCAAAAAATAATAAGGTGTTCTCTCGGTATCGAGAAATAATAGCGCACGCAACGAATATGCGGATATTCCCGTCGCGACGTGCTGAAAGCGACGTACGGACGACAGATATCACGCGGTCCGAACGTGCTGATGATTCCGTCAAATGATGTTGCACCAAGCGTGCAGCGAGCGCGAATTTCACTTGAGAGAACGGCACCGAGTGTGCCGGCGTCTTCTCGATCGCGAGGAATTACGGCACGCGCACAATCCCCGCGCGAACTTCCCCTCACCGCGCGCCGAATACACGCGGGGGAGCGAGAGTGATCACGCGGTGCGAACGTGCACGCGTCAATTATCGCGTTAATCTGTATTGCACGCGGGTGCAGGGGTAGCGTGTCGAATAATGGCACGCGCGAACAATCTTCACGCGTATTTCTTCGCCACAGCGTGCCGAATGCACGTGCGGACAAGAGCGATCACGCGGTGGGATCGTGCACGCGCCGATTATCGCACAACGGAATGCCCAACAGGGCCGACTAATATTACGAATTAATGCGAAGTATTGCGAATCGCGCGAAAGGTTGGCGGAAGTAACGAACGCGAAGCTAGATCCGGCTCGAAGGACCAATGCTCGGGGGGGTGTTTATCCGCCCCGGATTCGCGA